CCCTAGGTTTTATCAGTATCACAGAGGGTAAAAACATGACTCAGTCTAGGAGGTATGTCAGATATGGAGGTAGTGTCAGATTTTGGATATGTAGGAGATTATATTTCACTGTTAAGATTCTGTGTTTGGAGAACTAGATGAAATTTTGAAAGTTTATGAAGTTTTACAGTGACTGAAATTTCAGTATTGAAATTGACTATTTTTCATTTAAGACCGTGGTTCCTAAGTTTGCCTCATCACTGATCCTTAAGCCTTGGGAACATACGAGAATCAGTAGTGGAAATTTTTCTTTTCCTTTTCATTTCTCCCTTCCTTCCTTTTTCTGTCTCTGTGTCTCCCTCTTGGTCCCCCCCCCGCCAGTCTCTTTTTAAAAAAAATGTATAGACAGTTCACTGCCCCAGAAATTCTGATTTCAGTGGTCTAAGGTGGTGGATCCTTGATACCACTATATTTTAAAACTTACCGGAGTCTAATGTGCAGCCATTGTTCAGAATCCATAGCATTTTATCACTGGATGCTTGTTATAAATTCAGAATCTCAAACCCTACCCAGGCCTACTGAAAAAGGATCTGCATTTTATTTATTTAAAGAATCTGCATTTTAATAAGATCCCTGGGCAGCTTATATGTAGAGTAAAATTGGAGAAGCACTGTCTAGATTAGTGAATTATCTGGCAATGGACCCAAGGGTTCCCTCAGACTGTAGTTCTCGAAGTGTGATCCCAGGACCATCTACAGTCACATGGGAGTTTGTTAAAAATGCACATTCTGAGCATCAACCTAGACTTTCTGAATAGGACACTGGGGAGGTGGGGGCAGCAATTTGTGATTTAATGAGCTCTCTAGATGATTCGTAAGCAGGGAGCATTGCACTAGGAGATTCAAGTAGGTATTGGGATTTGGAACCACTGGATTGAGAGAATTCTTTCTACAAGCTCTTTATTAAAAGAAATACTCCTGAAGTGAAGGGGAATTAATGTTGCAACTTAACTTTCAAATGATTTAACAAGCTAAAAAAGAAAAAAAAAAACTGTATGTGTGTATGGGTATTTGTAGAGAAAGGAAAAGCAAATAACGGCAAAAGGTTATTTTCTACCATAGCGTTTATGAAAATGATATGACCTAGGGGGACCTATCCAGATCGCTCAGTCGGTTAAGCGTCCGACTCTTGATTTTGGCTGGGGTCATGAGTCTTGGGGTTGTGGGTTCCAGCCCTGTGTTGGGCTCCGTGCTCAGCAGGGAGTCTCCCTCTGCCATGCCCTAGCTCATGCTCTCAATCTCTTTCTCTCTTTAAAAAAAAAAAAAAAAAAGACATGACCTAAGTTCAAGTAGAGTAACTAGTTTAAGGTAATTAGCCAGCAAGCAGGTGGCAAAACCAGAACTTGAGCCTCCATGCCCTTTGTACATCACCATAAGCTGGAGTTTGATGTTGTTTTTCATGTTAGCTTGCCTGAGTTCACCGTCCCAGGCATCTAGGAATGTGGCTGTGTGGCATTCTACAGGCCCAGGAGCAAACTTGAAAATTTAGTCATTGACTTCCATTATTATGACTAACTCTCCCCTCCCCACCTCATCCCCTCCTTCCCTCCCACTCTCCTGTTGTCATAGTTCCCTCCCTACCCCCTCTTATCATCATTCTTAATATTAGACTTTGGGATCTGGGCATGTTCATACATTTTATTTTGGCTTCTAATAGAACCAAGTGTTCTGTGTTTTGAGTTGGGCATATGCAGAAAAATGCTTGATTTGTGTAGCCCAGACTTACTATTTCAGTTTTCAGGCCAGTTATTAACTAGATAGAGTTGCAAATTTGCCCTGATTTAGAATTGGTTTCAAAACAGTGGGAACTATTAAGTGTTTTACTTTTTAAAATACTGTACCTCATCCATAAAATGTGTTGATTGAAGATTGCTGTTAAATTGTCTCTCCTCCTGTAACATTTCTTAAAAGTTTTGATCCAAATTAGAATTGGATGAATTCTTTAGGTTGTTGACTTTCTCTTTTTTTTTTTGTAGCAATAATTTATTCCTACCTGATGATTAAAGAAAAATCCTCTGTAAGAATTGTTTTACTTTATTGTTGACCTCGTGGAGGTCTGCCTTTAATTGAACTCATGATGGCATTTTTATATAATGTGTAAAAGAGCATCTGGAGACAGAGCCAACATGGTCTTATTTGCTTTTATACAAATTAAATTGCCCTTGTGGCCCAGCCTAAAATCTAAGTGCTAAGAGCAGTTATTTATTTTGACAACAGAATTAATTGAGCCTAAAACAGTTGAGATTCCAGTTGTAGCAAACTATTCTTTCTGAGTCTCACTCTGGCTTTGGGACTGTCAAAAAAAGTAACTTGTCTTATGATTAAATAGCAGAATGATGGGCAGTGGACTTCATTTGAGGGAGATGCTGAATAAACTTTCTACTTGTGAAACATTTCAGAAGTGACATGCTGCAAGGGGGTCAGAATGCGCATTGATATCCAGCTGAGCTGGCAGCTGGCACAGAGCCAGGCACGCACAGCTTTGCCGTGTGAAGTGGCATGTGGAACATGTGCCATTCAATAAAGAAATATTTTTCGTGCATGAGTTAATTTTTTAAAGGTATTTTTAGTTTTACTATACCAGAAACTTCACATTTCTGTCTTTAATAGAAAAGCTTATGTGCTGAAGGTACTCAGTGTAAAACTTTTATATGTATTTTACAATTTGAAAGGATCTGGCATCTTATATTTCAGAAATGTTTGTGATTTTGAACAGTTTATTTTTATTGGACATTTCCCTATTCCAAATGAATTTTAAGAGGGTGTTTAGAAAAGATAAAGGGAAAAGCAATTGAGATATATCTGGTATAGGAAAAAGGTTTTGTGAGAAGAAAGTGTACAATTCTGTTGGAGGGAACTTTGGTAGAGTTAAGGGGTGCCTTTGCTATTTCCATTTATCTGAAAGCATCCAAAGATCTTAAAAATATATCATATTTGCTAAGATAATGTTATAAAAGTCTTTCTAGATACTCTATTTTAAAATATTTGTAAATAATGCAATTTGTTTGGTATTAATTTTTTGTTTTGTTTTTCCTCTCTAGAATAAACCCATAATAGCCTGAGTAATTGAGATTCTGTAAATAGTTACTGGGCACAGATTATGTGATATGTAACTGTAGGAGCTCTCAGATTTATTTGATAAGTTGTCATAGTCTCTTAAGGTTTATTAGTAAGTGATAAAGCTAATAATACATAATAAACTTGGTAATTTAGGTAGAGATATTTCATTCTTCATAATTTTTACATCAGCTAGTTGCTAATTATCAGATGGACATACTACAGTTCTTTACCTTTATAGATCTTTCAGTTTCATCTCTTTGTAAATTGTTAACTTAAGCCTCTAATGGATTTTTTTTTTTACAACAAGCTCAGTATAATGAATTCGTAGCTTCCAGATTTGCAGAGTGGACTTGAAGTCTTTAAATTTTTAATTAGGCCATGTTCTGATTCTAAGGCTTTTTTGGGTGGAAGTAGTGAATGTATTTTTTTCTTTTTTTTGGTCACATGATATATATCATAAGAATACTGTAGTAAGAAAGGTATTGCTAATTAATTGATTAGGACTTTGTTTATCAACTCACTTCTTTGAGTTTTTTTAAAAGTATTTTGCTTATCCCTAAATGTTAAAGTACTGTATTTGAATAGAAACCGGAACTGAAGAAGTAGACCTTAGATTTGGGATCAGGAAGAAGGACATTTTAGCCAGTATTCTTAGGTGTTCCTACTTGTAGAGAAATCTTTCTTGTTAATCAGTGCCTTTCTTTTGTAATGGAATCATCAATGAGAACTCTGATTATGAACTATCATAGGTACAGTTAAACTTAACGTCTCAAAAGAACCAATAACAAAATCTTCCATTTTCTACTCTTCAAGCTCTATTTTTAAATTTTTTGAAATAATATGTTGAACCTATTACCATTCATAAGTTATTTCAGAAAAATACTGGACTTAGCTTTGTGCAGTGGCAGTATCGTAGCCAATGAGGTTTATCCGAGGCACGATTATTGCTAATAGAAAAATACTGGACTTGCATAAATTTAAGTATTAAAAAACAGGGCTAAAATGACAGTTTAACAGAAGATAATTTTTTAGTCTGATACTTAGCTTTGGGGATGTTTCAGTAGAACAGTGATTCATGCTTTTGCTAATTTTCTTACTACCTAAATAATTTAGTATTCCATGTAAATGAAATATACCATTATATGGGATTTAAGGCTAGTCTTAGCAGATCTGTTATTTTAGGGCTATTTTGTTTTTCAGCTGATTTCTATTTTATCATCTTCTTCCTCTCTGTAGTCTATCCCCCATACCAGTGCTAAATTAATTTTCTTGTAAGCCACTTTGCAGGGGCATGTGTGTATCACCTCACATGAAAACTCTTCCCATTACCTGCAAACTACAAGTTCACATTCCTTGACCCACCGTACAGTTAGAGCATCACCACCTAGCTACTATGCAATTAGTGCATTTATTTATTCAGCAGATATTTGTTAAAGACCTATTATTTGCCAGTTCACAGTCGTCTACTAGACAGACAAATTCGCAAGCTTACATTCTAGTAGTATTTATTATGTTGGTCCCCCTGCCCTCCCCATTAACAAAACCAGGGATTCAGCAACTGCCTTTTATTATGCTTGTTTTCTCTCAAGTATCCTGCAAGCTCCTTGAAAGCAGAAACTACAGATTAGGTTTGTGTCTCCGGTTCTATAGTATCATATATAAAAGGTTTTCAGTAAATCGTGATCATAATAATAGGATCGTCTCAGTTTTTGTCACTGTTAGGATTATTTGAATTTTAAAATTATTGATATTTTAATTAATGCTATCAGATAACACTAGAACACATGTCAGGTCAGTTAAAAAAGCTGTAATGGGATCTGATCTGATTGCTTTCCATCAACTTGCCTTTTTTTCTTTTTAATTTTTACTAGCAGTTGTTCATCTGTTTTTTTGTTTGTTTAGGCCTCATTGAATTTGAAGAGTGTGACCCTGCTAGTGCAGTTGAAGGTAAGTTGACTACTTGTAATAGTGTTAACTAGCTAATATCTTCTGTTATTGAATAAGTAAAGAGTGGCTGTTATCCCTTGGTGTCAGCCTGTCTGTGGAGTGATACAGAACATCTGAATGTGGTTTCAAGACCTCCAGATAATATTCTTTACTTAATAAATAAACAGTAGGTTTGCCCAAAGGAATATTGAGTGTGTTAGAGTATAAATCTTAAAAGATTAAATACAACATGTATTTATTTTCTTTTTTTTTTAAGAAATTTAATTGTCTGCTGAGCTTTCTTTTTTTTTTTAGATTTTTATTTATTTAATTGACAGAGACACAGCGAGAGAGGGAACACAAGCAGGGGGAGTGGGAGAGGGAGAAGCAGGCTTCCTGCTGAGCGGGGAACCGGATGTGGGACTCGATCCCAGGACCCTGGGATCATGACCTGAGCCGAAGGCAGTCGCTTAACCAACTGAGCCACCCAGGCGCCGCAACATGTATTTATTTTCAAATATACATTGAGATTGTTTTCTTTATTGACATCCATTTTAAACATTCTCATCATAAATATGAAAATGATCACTACACATTTATGTATAAGACTTACTCTTTTTTTTTTTTAAGTTTTTATTTTATTTATTTGACAGAGACACAGCGAGAGAGGGAACATAAGCAGGTGGAGTGGGAGAGGGAAAAGCAGGCTTCCTGCTGAGCAGAGAGTCCAGTGTGGGGCTCGATACCAGGACCCTGGGATCATGACCTGAGCCAAAGGCAGACACTTAACGCCTGAGCCACCTGGGGCCCCAGTAGACTTATTCTAAAGTGAGAAACATTTCAGTAATTAATGAGGTTATATATTAATGTTATTATTACTGTCATTCAAAATGAGTGATGATGTGACTTGGAGAAAGGGTTCACAACCCTTCCTGTTTGTTTAAAGATATTATGCACCCAGCGTAGGGCTTGAGTTTACAACCCCAAGACCAAGAGTCCCATGCTCCTCTGACTGAGCCAGCCAGCTACCCCTCTTCCTGTTTAAATGGATGATTTTCATAGTATGAAACCTAAGAGATACCTATTTTTGTCATATTTTATGTATCTCACTTTGTGAGCTACTAGAAGTAATTTGAAAACAATCTTCTATTTTTTTCTTCCAACATTTATGTAAGAATTTGGAGAAAAGGTTTGCTGTTGTGTATAAGGTTCTCATTGGAGAAATCAGGGGCTCTGGTGCCTAGACTTTTTTCTTTAAGATGGGGGTGGGGCAGGGAGGGTTAGAGGGGGAGAAAGAGAGGGAGAATTTTTTTTTTTCTTTCAAGATTTCATTTAAATTCAAGATCTCATATAGTGTAATATTAGTTTCAGGGGTAGAATTTAGTGATTCATCACTTGCATGTAATACCCAGTTCTCATTACATCAAGTGCCTTCCTTAATGCCCATCACCTAGTTACCCCATCCCCCCACTCACTTCCCCTCCAGCAACCCTCAGTTCCCTGTATCTAAGAGTCACAAGGCACCTAGGTGGCTCAGTCAGTTAAGCATCTGCCTTGGGCTCAAGTCATGATCCCGGGGATTGGGATTGAGCCCCGCATCGGGCTCCCTGCTCAGCGGGGAGTCTGCTTCTCCCTCTCCCTCTGCCCATCCCCTCCCACTTGTGCACTCTCTCTCTCACTCTCTCAAATAAATAAATAAAATCTTAAAAAAAAAAAGGAGCCTCTTAGGGTTTGCCTCCCTCTCTCTTTATCTTATTTTATTTTTCCTTCCTTTCCCCTATGTTCACCTGTTTTGTTTCTTAAATTCCACATATGAGTGAAATCATATGGTATTTGTCTTTCTCTGACTGACCTAATTCGCTTAGCATAATACACTCTAGTTCCGGGAGAGAGAAAATCTTACGGAGGTGCCACAGCCAGTGTGGAACCCAATGCTGGGCTAGATCTCACGACCTGAGCTGAGATCATGACCTGAGTTTACAACCCCAAGTTGTAAAGTGGAGTGAGATCATGACCTGAGCTGAAATCAAGAGTTGTACGCTTAACCATCTGAGCCACCCAGGTGTCCTGGTGTCTAGACTTATAGTTCCTAACTTCTTAAGTTCCTGTAAGCAATAATTATTTAAGTTCTCTGTACTTCAGCTTTCTTTGTTGTAAAATGTGGATAGTAGGGGCACCTGGGTGGCACCTCAGATCCTGATCTCAGGGTTGTGAGATGGAGCCCCACCTCAGGCTCTGTGCTCAGCTTGAAATTCCCTCCCTTCTCCCCCCCACCCCACTTGTACTCTCTCTCTCTCTCAAATAAATAACTGAAATAAAAAAAAAATTAGATAGTAAATAATACTCTGTGAGAAGAAAAATGTATTTGAGTTTTAAAATATTATAACATGCTTATACAAATGTATGATTTAGGGAATTAGTTTTGTATGAAAGCAAGTACCCTGTTCTAAAACATCTGAATTATAATCCTGGCTATAGTATTTAGTAGCTGTATAACATTGAGTTAAAAAAACAAAAAAACTACCCTTGAGTTTCCTCATCTGTATGGTGCGGAGTTATCTTAGGTATGCCTGGCTGTCAGAGTAAGCAGCTAAGCTTTAAATGCTGAATTCCATCAACAATCAATAGCATGACTGATCTCTAAAAAATAAATTTGTCATGCAAGAAGAGGGAGGAAGAACTGCTATATTAGGCAAAACAAAGATGATCTTTGTTTCTCATTTATGGTAGAATCAGCTTACAACATTGTTTATATTAAAGATAATATATGGGCAAAAGTACGCCATATGTTTTCCGTGTTTACTGTTAATGGCACTGTTGTGTCATCTTTTTTTTAAAACAACACGTTTATATTTTGTGACCTTCCAGACAGGAAACAAGACTTGACCTGCATTTATAACAGAATCTAATTTAGTAAATAATGTACTTTCTTTGACGTTTTAAGACATCTCCAAATGCTTATTTTGTCTGAGGTAATTTAGGGGAGACTTAGAGGAAAAGAGAATTTTATTGATCAAGTGAATGTTCTATAACCTTTTGGTGCATAACAGACTATATTAAATTAAGAAAAGTCTAAACAGATTGTGACTCTGATTCAAATGTTAGGGTTTAGCAGTTGACACTTCTATTTCTTGCATCCAAATTTAGTATTGACATAAGCAAATTATGTGTCAAGATACAAAATGTATTCATAAATATATTGATCAGCAACGGTTATTTTTTCTGTAACAACATATATTTATTTTAAGGTGTAAAACCAAGGAAAAGAAAGACTTTTGGTTTGCCAGGGATAATTAAAAAGGAAAAGGATGCAGAGTCTGTGTAAGTATATTACATATTGTCAAAATCCTCTGTTATTAAGAATAAGACTGTTGTTTTGAATTTGAGAAGAAAAAACTCCATCAGAAATAACTCATAGTATGTATGTCTAAGGTTTGAAAAATATAGTTTTCTAAATACATTTACTAGCTCCTCTGGCTTTAGATAAAAGTGTTAACTTATTGTTTTAAAATTTTAAGATGAGAGCTTTAGTGTCTTGAAATTGAAACTTTAAAGGTACCCTTTTTATAAAATGATACATCGTATTTTAAAAAACCAAAGTGCAGAAGAAACGAAAAATTCTTCTAAGTCTTAATGCCAAAGAAAAAACCCATGGTCAACAATTTAATGAAAATCCTTCTAGGTAAGTCTAAACATAGAGGCACACAGCGATATATGTACACATAAATAGAAAATAGGGGAGAACAAAGGTGCTAACATGTCTTAAACATTTATACTAGGTCACCAATTTTTAGATGGGGGATGGAGTATAAATATGATTTACGTATTTTTTAAATTAGGTTAATATACAAAGAATATATAATTTGCATATAATAAATTCAACGAGTATTGGGTAAATGAAGTTTTCTACCTTGGTTACGCATTAGAACTACATGGAAAATTAAAATAGATATATTTGTCAGGCCCCACCTCAAACCAATTAAACCAGATTCTCAGGGTGTGAGGCCGAGCATAATTTTGGTTTGGTTTAGTTTTAAGCAGCCTGTCTGATTCCTAACATACACCTGGGGTTGAGAATCTCTAAGAGCTATGATTTACAAGAGACAAACTGGAATCTTTCTTTCTCTGATTTCTTGACCTTATATAGATTGACAAGATGCTAATCAAATCTTAAATGATTTGTTAACTGCCTAACACTGGCTGAAAATTTGTTTAAAATCCCTACTTCTCTAGCATAATTAGCAGAGCTGTTATAGGCACTTATATTTTCAGTATAAGAGAACAATTTGTGCTTTGGGTGTTCTTATCTCCTACCTAGTTAGATTCTTTTATCTGAGTTTCTCAGAGTGTCTAACTGCTCCCAATTTTCTGTTTCTTCCTCTCTCCCAAGATTTACTTGGTTAACAAATTAAGACGAAGTGCAAAGTAATTTATATCTGTAGTTACCATCTCATCTGCAAATGTCTTTTCAGCATTTACGAAGGGGGTATTTTGCTAAGGAGATGGAATCCAATCTATTTTTTATAACATTGGAAATACTTATGGAAATCTAAACAGTTGATCTGTAAGTGAAATTATAAATGTAGCCAGTTCATCTGTGGGTATATTGTAAAAAATAAAGGCCTTAAATTCAAATATTTTTATAATATATGGTTTTCACAGCTGTCCATTCAGGGAGTGTACAATATTTTTGCTTATTCTGTGTTTTTAAAATAGTTTTTCATGATCAGTAATTTGCCAGTACTATCATTAGGCCACTTGGATATTGGAATGTTTTTTTTACAAACACTGAGAAGACCAGAGCCAAAAACCAGTGCTTAAACAACTGCATCATGACTGCGTTCTTTCAAAACCTGCAGGCAGGAAAAATGTTAGAAATCGCTTTGTTTGAAATGCCTGGGGCTCGTGGCGTGCTTCTTCGCATAGCCTGAAGGCTTGGAATGCCAGCAGTTGTGGAAGAGGGGTCCTGCTCAGAGCTTGCTTAGAGCTTGCTCTTCCTGGGGCTTCAACTGCAGGTCTCATTACAGCCCACTGTGAAAGCAAACAGATGAGTGCTTTGCCACAAAGAGTGGAGAGCTCTGGCTGAAAGCCAGAGAATAAACTGTTTGGAACTTTGACACTTTTATATTTAAAGTATATCTTTTTAAAAAAGAAGGAAGTAGAAGTGCTCCAGTATCTTAAATGATTAGATTCCGTAGATGGATTGAATTTATTATGGTGCCTTTTCTGGAACATTTCCTCCGAGTATGCATAGGAATATACCAGTAATAAGGAAGCTCTTTTTCAAAACTTGCAATTTTAAGTGACGTTTAAGTGGCTGTAAAGACACAAGAGGCTTGCGTTTACCCTCTTTGGTGCTTCCATTTGGATTAAGAGCAGTGTAGTCAGTCATCTCCCTCTATTTTCAGTATTTCAGTCTATTCCATCCTGTCTTCCTTTAACAAAATTCTTCAATTTGTAGATTTTTTCTGGTTTGTGCTTAGTCTTTGGGTAGATAGAGATGACCTATTTATCCTATATATTAATTTAGTACTTTTTATTACTGTTCATTGGGCTCTCAAGGTATACCTAATAACGTATGTTTTCAGTCTCTTACTGAAGTGGCAGATTCTGATATTATATGCATTAACTGTCTCAGGCCACCTGTAACTAATCCAAATGCCTTTTAAATTTTCACTCTAATTTTTGTTAGTGAATTTGCTCTAGAATATGAATATAGAAATCTTTCTAACCTTATTCCTCATGGCCTCAGTGTCTTTATGGATTTAGGTCTTTATTTGGTTGAGAAAGTTGGTCTACTTTATGTTTTAGTTTTACATTCAAAACCCTTCTTTGCTAGTTTATATCCAAATTAATATTTATCAGTTAAGTGATAAAATACCAGTTTTCAACAACTTACTATATTAGACCAGAAAGCTTTTTCAAACAGAATTCTGACTACTCATTTAACATAATTGGAGAAAAATGGTTTGGCTTCTATATATGCTAGCTATGGATATTACTTCAAATAAAACTGAAGTTTTAACAAGAATATATTGTAAAATATTATTTACTTATATTTATCAATTAATAAAATTAGACTTTTTAAAAAAGCCAAGCTTTCTTCTTAGAATTTCTTTTTTACAACTTTCTCTACCTGAAGAATTAAAAGCCAGTAGCAATCCTTATAGGACTGACAGCTTCCTTTATATGATTCATGTGTATACTCATGGAAAATAAGTGCTTTTGAAGTATAAATTTTTAAAATACTTGTAAGCTATGTGAGTTATTTTGCCATGTATTGTGGATATAGGAATGCCTTCTTTTGAACTTTAAAATCATGTGGTATATTTTAATCCTCATTATTTGATTTTTCTAAGTATCTTTTTAAAGTTTAAATAGAAGTTATGTTTAAATAACAACATAAACACTTTCAATATACTATAATTATAGATCTAGTTGATTATTTCTAATATTTTTTTTATTTTAATAGGGAATGCCCTGATGCAGATTCACTTGTAAGTTGATTTTACTTTGATATAAACCATGTAAATTAGCTATTTTCATTAGGAATAACCAGTATATTTGGGTTGAGTTGTTAACAAATCTTTCCAAAAAAAATAACCAGCTTATTGTAAATTCACTATTAAAATTATTTTACAGATGCATTTTTGGCTTTATATTACTAGATGTTTTTCTATTAAATAGAAGGCAGTTCTACCTACCTTTGTAAAGTGGACATTTTACCTAAAATTTGAGTGGTACCATACCATATTGCTTTTTCTTGGGAAATACGCCAGATCTCAGATCTGCGTACTTTATTTTTTTATTTTTTTATTTTTTAAAGATTTTATTTTATTTGACAGAGAGAGACACAGCGAGAGAGGGGACACAAGCAGGGGGGGTGGGGAGAGGGAGAAGCAGGCTTCCCACCGAGCAGGGAGCCCGATGCGGGGCTCGATCCCAGGACCCTGGGATCATGACCTGAGCCGAAGGCAGACGCTTAACGACTGAGCCACCCAGGTGCCCCTGCATACTTTATTTTAAAATGTGATGCTCTTACTACTGTATTCCTGATCATTAAAATATTATTTTATCTATTCAGGCATTTGAGTTTTAAGAGATTATCAGTTTAGAAAAACATAATAATCATGGTCAGTATTTTTCTGTGCTTTTTGTTTTGTAGAAAGTTTATATTTTTTATTTAAATATATTTCTTTATATATAATTGAGGAAGACATTAAATGGAGCTCCCTGCGGTTACATTGGGAGAGTAGATTTATGAAATGGTGTAAGTAATGTGTAGACAGACACATTTTTCAAATTGTTCATTAGGCTCTGGTCATGTTGCTAATTGTAGTAGAGTCCAGCTGTCTGTCTCCTTTGCTTATTGTTCTTGCTTGCATAATTACTGTATTTTTTGGTCCCAAGTCATTTTGATCTTTTACAGCATAATGGTGTACCAAGATAAAGATATTTTGTGAAATACTGTGTTTTATGTAACTTTTAAAAACTAGTATGTTTTCTTTAAAATAAGAAAATTATGATTTGTTAGTAAATGTATAGTGAAAATAGAAAAATAGATTTCTAGTGAGCTCTAGGGTTAAAATCATCAGAGTGTTTTAGAATTACATTTAATTTACCAATTGTCTGTTTTGATACTCTTCGTTTACTAATTAATGAAAAAGTTAGCAGATGTGTTTGACATTTACTTTAGTATTCATCATGCATTTCATTTTGGAATTATTTATGCATAGCATTTATTTGATGATTGCAGTATTGAATTAAGTACTTTAATACTTCATGTTTTATATATACTCCCTTAAATAAAACATTTGTAATCCTCTCAGCTCATTGATACTATTCTGTAATGATCAATATTAACCAATTTTGAACTTTTAATCAGTACTTGTCTGGAATTAGAAAAGGACTTTTAAAAGGATGCATAAGGCCATATAAGAAATGATTGATAAATTTGTGTAGAAAGAAATCTAAAATTACAAAAAATACATCATAGAATTTGATTCAGTAAAGATAAATTGGCACTTTTTTTTTTTAAAGATTTTATTTATTTGAGAGAGAGAGCATGAGCAGGGCGAGGAGCAGAGGGAGAGGGAGAAGCATACATACAGTCTTGTGCTTTTATTTCTTCACTTTAAAGAATTGGGTGAAATTTTGGTTACAGAACTGCTGGTGTACCTGCCTGAATACCTGTTCTCTTCCTTGTAGTGTTTCTCCCCTTTCACTTTGCAGTGCTTTTCTCTTTCAGACAAGTGAAGTACAGAATGTGAGCTGAAGCTAACTTAACCAAAAAGATAGAACTTTCCCAGTGTTACTAATTTTATGAACCTGTTGTTATTTGATAAATGATGTAGCTGCTGTAAAAGGTAAAGCTGTTTTGCTAATCTTTTATATTTCTGTAGTTGGAGCCATCATTACAGTAAGTCTTTTTCTTCTTCTTCCCATAGAACATTCCTGATGTAGATGAAGAAGGCTATAGTATAAAACCAGAAGCAAATCAGAATGATATCCTTTTATCATCGGGTTATTCCTATGGATTGTGTCTATAAGTAGACCATTATAACACAATATTCTGTTTAAAAATGTGACTCCATATTTTTCATTTGACATGTTTTTACTAATGAAAGTTAGTAGTTCTGTATCTGTTAAAGTCCATCTGAGCTCTTAAAGGTTTATATTCCTTTTAATAAATGTGTGAAAAACTGGTTATGCATTAAGATAGTTTAAAAACTAAATTCTTTAACTGACATTCACATACCAAAGAGAACCATTTCTACTCATCTAGTGATTCTGATTCTGAAGATGAAGAACCAAAGAAGTATCGGATACAGATCAAACCCATGCATCCAAATAACTCCCATCACACAATGGCTTCCCTGGATGAATTAAAAGTGTCTATAGGAAATATCACTCTCTCCCCAGCAATATCTGTAAGTAAGAAAATGAACAAGTTTGTGCTTTTTACATAGAAGCCTTTATTTATTTATTTATTTTTACCTCAGCTACTTGCATCTGGTTAATTTTAGCAATAGTTAAGCGTATTGGATAAGGAAATATAATTTTTCTTTTATTTTATTGAGGTATATAGTTTTTAATTTTTATATAGGCAAATAAACTTGAGTTTGGCTTAGTTTTGCTTCCCTTTGAAAGTGTTTTACAAGGAAACAAAAATGTAGAAAATCTTTTTCTGCCATTTTATTTTATAAACTGTATGTTCCAGAAATTTGAACTGGCAGTATTAATCTTTTTCTTACCTAATTTTAAAGATTTTCATCCATATTTTATGAACCTTATGTGAATGGGAATTCTGTAAAAAGGGATTTAAAGATTAAATTATATGTCTACTGCTTTTGTAACTGCAACATTTGTTTTTCCATATGTTTTATATTTAAAAAAGGCAAATACAAGAATTTTTAGTGATCATGGTTAATTCCTCAATTCTAAGATACCATACTTAACAGCTTTTGAGGGAGGAAAAAAAAGTCGCCGTAACTAATATTTCACTGATGTCATACTCTAAATTCAGGAATGTTAAACTATGGGGAAAAAAGCTTAGAATGACAATTTAGTCTATCTGTACATGCTCATCATAATTGATATTAAACCTGTTCTCCTCGATAATAGAGAATAAAAGTTCTCCCCATTTCATATTGTTACTTAATTACATATTTTAAATAGTCTGTATGTATTTGGGAAAAAGTGTTTTTCTCTGAGTCATGCACTTTTAACATTTAATTTTTTTTCTACCGAAAAGTTCTGAAGTGAGGTTTGCTATTTTATTTATTGCTATTTTAACATTAAGATTAATGCCCAGATTCTTATATAGATATAATTATTATATAAATATATTATATATAATAGATATATTATTATAGATATATTATTATATAAATGAAGTTATGAAACCATTAAAAATTTTTTATTGTGTAAGAGCAAAACTAATTTAAAAAATATATGTAAATAAATAAAACCAAATTCTAGGGGAATATATATGCCAAAACATTAAACACCTACCTCTGGGTAGTGAGATCATTAATGGTTTAAAATTTTGTCCTTTGTACTTTTCTCTCTCTTCAATTTTTAAAAAAATGATGAACATATTACTTTCATACTGAGAAAGTAAATAATGAGGAAATTTTAATCCTTAATATTGGGTTTGAAAAGGGGATAGTTTGAGTATATTTTGCTGGCCAGTTTGCTTATCTAGCTCATGTCCCTTACCCTAACAATGTTCTGCGTGTGTTTTAAGGTATATAGACTTTAGGTATGATTCAGAAGTGAGTAGACAAATTATGAGACTAAGAAAATAAGATATTTTAAATTCTAAAATGTACACTATGTCTTTTTCTTTCCATGTACAACTAGAGACACAGCCCAGTAAGTACAAGATTTTATATTTTTACCTACTGACTTAAAAAAAAAATCCTTTTAATGTTTGAACATTGATTTTCAAAGTATTTGTTTTAAATTGCTTAAATTAGCAGATCACAGTATCTTGCTGTAGGTACTAACATTTTGATAATCTTTTACTATAAAACACTGAAAGTTTTTTTTAATGTAGTTTATAATTGAGTAGATACACTAAAAACGACTTAAAATTAGATCCCGATTAACATTTTATGAAGTATGAACCTGGATGGCTCAATCTGTTAAGAGCATGCAACTCTTGATCTTAGCATTGTGAGTTCAAACACTGTGTTGGGCATGGAACCTACTTAAAAAAATTAAAAATATATTTAAAAAAAATTTTTTTTTTTTTACCAAGTATTTCATTACCAGATTATTTGTTTAATGACACGTAATGTTTGCATTTCTGTTTTAGGTGCAGATGAATCGGAATTCATCTAGTAAGTTTGACATTTGAATTGGTTATTTTATGTCTATTAAAATTTATCAGGCAGGGGTGCCTGGGTGGCTCATTTGGTTAAGTGTCTGCCTTCGGCTCAGGTCATGATCCCAGGGTCCTGTGATAGAGTCCCGCCTGCTTCTCCCTCTCCCTCTGCTGCTCCCCCTGCTTGTGCGTGCTCTCTCACTCTGTCAGATAAATAAATAAAATCTTGAAAAAAATTTATTAGGCAGTTTGCTAAGCTTATTGTAGTCTTACATATGTAGTTAGAGAAATAAATGGTTTGTTCTCATCACAACTGTTAACAACAGACTAGATGGATACTAACTTTAAACAGAAGACAACTTAGGTATATTACTTCTTTTAGCATTTAGACATGCCTTCAAGTTTAATACTTGGCTACAGCATTTTTCAGAAATCAACAAAGCCAAAGATAACAATGTTAAAACTGTTTAACTGGCATAACTCTGCCTCATGAACCAGAAGGCATTATGAGATGAGTAAGTTTTAGCTTTACTTATAAGTCATATCATAATTGCAATTTGTATTGTATGATTTTTAGTATAGTAACTTAATTATACTAAAAAATTGGGGGGTGGGTGCTGGCATCTTCTGCAGCATCATTAAAAATAACAAAGGTGGGAAAAAGTAGAGTTGAGGCAGCCTACTCAAAAGTTATGCAATTTTGTAAACATAAGGCTTAATAAAAATCATAACATCAATCCTATTAAAAATTCTACCCATAACAATTAGGGGCGCCTGGGTGGCTCAATCGGTTAAGCATCTGCCTTTGGCTCAGGTCATGATCCTGGCATCCTGGGATCGAGCCCCAGGTTGGCCTCCCTGCTCGGTGGGGAACCTGCTTCTCCCTCTTCCTCTTCCCATCCCTGCTGCCCCTGCCCTTCGGTTCATGCTCTCTCCTTCAAATCAAAATGTTTAAAAAAATTCTAGCGCAACTGACAAGACGTATTAAATGCATAATAAATACCAAACTAAAAGTAAGATTTTGGTTTAAAAAAAATGGTGAGTAGCTTGATATAGGGATACCAGCAAAATGAGGATAAAAGTGGGCTGCTTTTATGCAGTTACTTACATAAGGGCAAATTGCAGAAACATGGAGGAGAACGGCCCAGTAGGTACTTTGGGGCCAAACAGAGGGCCAAATTGAGCTCAATGTGGGACAGTGTGGTAGGAAGGGACGTCATGTACAGTGTGGTATTCCTCATAGTTTGCTGCACTTATCCATGTTGGTGTATTTTCATTCATCAGCTATTGGTTAGTGATCTAAGACATTAAGGTGCAGGGAAATTTGCTTATGAACTGACATGACTTTTGCACATTACTGAGTCTCTTTACCTTTGTACAGTTGCTAATGAAATGATTCACATTACCAGTGCAAAAGGGAGCAAAACAGCCTATCTTATCAAGACTGTTGCTCTAGGTTCCTATAAAAATTTTAATTTTTCAAGATATCCTTCAAGAATAACTGTTTTTGGTCAACATAATAAATATTCTTAGAACTTGAAAAATGCTTTCATGATTCATCAACTGTAATTCTTGAGTAATAAGTATTTCAACGTATGTTCTAACTTTTATAGTTCTAGCCCATATTTCAGTGATCTGAACGGCAGTTTTATTTTCATGAATATGATAGTTTCATTGACCTAATTTCTTAACCAAAGATGTTAGAAGAAATGAGGACATAGCAGAAATTCAGCTATAATTTTGATATTCTTAGATGATATTCTTAGCATGTTAGAAAACTTGTTGAAGTTTTATTTTCCTGGGGTGTTTGGGTGGCTCAGTTGTTAAGCGTTTGCCTTTGTTCGGCTCAGGTCATGGTCCCAGGGTCCTGGAATCAAGCCCCGCATCGGGCTCTCTGCTCGGCGGGAAGCCTGCTTCTCCCTCTCCCACTCCCCCTGCTTGTGTTCCTGCTCTCGCTCTCTCTCTCTGTGAAATAAATAAATAAAATCTTTAAAAAAAAGTCTTTATTTTCCTTTTCTTCATAATTTAAAAAACTTATCAATTTCACAATTTTAAAATTGTTCATAGTAATGAGTTATGCGTGTAATGTTTCTCTTAACATTTAAATATTACTCAGATTATGAATTTTTTCATATTTCGATTTTTTTAATTAGGTGAAGAGCTAACAAAATCCAAGCCGTGTGCCGCATCCATTGAGTAAGTTTCATAGTTAAATTTTATTTTTAAATAGACTGTTCATAGCAGTTTTAGGTTCATAGCAAAATTGAGGGGAAGCTACAGAGGTTTTGCATATTTGCTCTGCCCCCATATAAGCCCAGCCTCCTTCACTATCAGAATCCCCCAGTAGAGTAACACATTTGTTAGAATTGATGAACCTACACTGACACATCATTGTCACCCAAAGTCTGTGGTTTACATTAGGATCCACTCTTGTTCTTAATGTATCCTATGAGTTATGACAAATGGGTAAGGACGTTTGTCTCTACCATTATGGTGTCATACAGAATAGTTCAACTGTACTAAAAAACCTTTGTCCTCTACCTGTTCATCCTTACCCCTTTACTGTGTTTAAAATTAAATATCATTCTTTTGTCCTTTTTTTCTAGAGTTTTATTATCTTTGCAGTTTCAGTTTGAGTGTTGGTAATCATCCTCTTTTCTAAGCTGTGAAACACTCTGGAGTTTCTAGCTGTTTTAAATTCTCATTTGACACTATAATTTTTTTTAAAATCCTTATAAATGGCCTTGGTGGCTTCACTGCTTCTAAATAAAGGCTAGTGTCCCAAGTTCATACATAGCTATATTTCAACTAGTTATTCTCATGGAAATTTTCTCTTTCTTCCTTCAGTTTTGGCTGTGACCGTGTAAGATAGATTGTCCTTTTCATGAACTTCAAAACAAGGAAGTGTCTCAATTAAGTTAAAAAGGCTAGAAAACATGTTGCTAGCTTTTTAAAAAGAAAAAAATGTTTTAAGCCAGTGTTTCATGGGTCCTTTTTCATTTCAGTATCTGTCAATAAGAATACGTTCTTTTAATTTCTTTTTTGCATAAGTAAAAGTATAGGCTTCATTAAATGGATAGCTTAATTTGATACTTTGAAAGCTAGGCACTAATTGAGCACAGTGGTGGTATTCATTTATCATTTTTAAAGGTAAGTTCAGTGTTTTAAAAATTTTGTTTTTAGTAATTTATGCAATTGTGATTCTATGTTTTATATACAGGATGTAGTGTGCTTCCATGTAGGTGCGTGTTGAGATACTAGATACGTACTTATAGATAATTGTACCATTTTCATTGTAATGAGCCTGTTTTCTGAGATTTAAAAACACCGCATTAAATGGCAGTTTGATACATTAACATATTGTTTTAATGGGATTAATCTTTTTAACACCTTCAATATATAATTTTTACTTGTCAGTCATAGCTCAGTAAAGCTGGAAATAACTTAAGAGGTGGTGGCAAAGTTCAGGTACTTCAGGATTTTAGAGGTTAGACATCTTAAAAGGCGTACGACTGAAATGAAAAAGAGAAACATTCATATAAAAACTTTTATTAAAGAGCTGGAAGTTGAATCCTGAGAGAAATTAGTCCAGTGGATTTCAAGGGGTCACGGTTGGGAAATCTTTGGTTATACAGCATGTTGAGTTTTTTGAAACTTGAAAGTTGATGCTCTTGATGATTTTGTCCATAGTCTTGATGACCTCTCGTAAAAAGACATGCATGATCCAAACATTTCACTAGACTGCCTCAGTGGCCCAGGCTGTGGATTGTCTAGGGAGAAGTCCTGCCCTTGCATGATCTACTATAGTAATCAGACCTTTGAAATTTATATCAAGCTGTTGGGCTTACTTCTGTACTTGATAATTTCAAAGATGAAGGAAAGGGTAGAAGATTTTTTTTAAAAGTGCTTAACTCTGACCTTATAAAATTTCTGCCTGATTTTCTGTGCATGATTTGGTGCTAGGTGTGAATGAACAGACCTGACATTACTGTAGAATTAAGTACCTTTGTGTCCTTGGGCAGCTCATTTAGACTCCAGTGGGCTGCTTTTCTTCATTTGTAAAGCTGAAATGATTTCTATTCTTACAGCCCCAAACACAGAGTATAAGAAGGTGTGACTGGTGCCCATTATCTTCTCTACTGCCTCCTACCAACTTTACATAATGTTACCGGAGGTTCTGCTTATAGTAGTTAAAAAAAAATTTTAAACCAGTATTTGTTAAGTTCCTTCACATATTCCATTGGCAGAATATCCAACTTTTAAATGCTATATATTTAGCTATTACAATTCTATGAGATAAAAATGACTAAATTTTATACTAATAAAAAATTCCTTTGTTAAAATCTTTATTTTTTTTAAATGTTATGGCAGGAAAGGGACCAGTGATTTACTTGCTTGGGATCCCCTGTTTGGACCATCTCTTGATTCATCATCTTCAGCTTCACTAACTTCGTCATCATCATCAGGTAATGTAATGTGTGTGTGTATGTGTGTATATATATATATTTAAACTGAGGAATTCATTAGTTACTTTTTTCCTGATTGATTTATTCATCACTTTTGTGTTACACTTAGAGATAAAAAAATATTAACTTATCCTCTCATATTGCCAAAGTGATTTTATACTGGTTTTGTTAGCTGAAAGACCCTATGGCTTAAACAAAAATTTATGAAATACCAATTTTTTTAAATTTATGTATTTCTATGCATCATTCCCTTATCAGTGCCCAAATTCTCACTGTTCTTAGATAATTCCACTGCATAGATGTGCATTAGTGTTATCAGTCTTTTCTTACCAGACATTTGAGTTGCATCCAGTTTTCTAGTATTATAAACATCCATGGCTAGAATTTTGTGTACGTTTCATAATATCCTTGTAATTTATCAGTACAACATTTGAGTCTCAAGATATACCCACTGATATTTATTGCCAAACTGCTTTCCAGAAAGGCTTTAGCACTTCCCAAGCAATGTGTCAAAGAACTTGATGAATGCTTTTTAGTTGTTGTTTTGTCAAGAATATGTTCATTTTCTCTTCTCTTCAAAATACAAAAATCCCACTAGCCAACAATCCAAGTAGGCATCAAAATGCTTGTTTAATAAAACCACTGCTTGTTCAAAGCAAGAAAATAAATTCACTTTAAGTTGGTCTTCAGCCTTCTCTGGGATTTCATGAATGCTGTTCAGTATTTGGGGTTAGGAGAGTGATGGAATGGTGAGGAGAGAACTTGAATTGATAGAGTTCATGCCACGTTGCTCTGCTAGGAGTTACACAGTTTCGTTTCACTTCATTAACTGCTCCATGAAGTCCATTTTAATGTCCCTGTTTTGTAGATAAAAAAAAAAAAGTAAAGCTCAGAGATGATCAGGAACTTCTCTGAGATCATTTCAGAGGAAATGATGAAGCATTGATTCAAACCCAGATCTTACTAATTTTAAAGTCTTCATTCTGTTCATTGCACTCTGACATATTAACTATAAGCCATTCCAAAACATTTTACTATTTAAAATTAGATTGTTCATAAATCAATTTTTAAAAGAAATTATAAATGGATGTTAGGCAACCTTAACTCCAATTTGGAATTTTGAAGGAGCAGTGATTTATATTTAATACTTGTAAAACAGCAAGAAACAATGAAAGATTGTTGAACATAATCTGAAGTGGCATTATAGCCTTCCTCAATGGGCATGTTATTATTTAGTTTTATAAAACTAAACCTAATAGATTGTGTAAGAAAAGTAAGTACACAGGAAAAACTGAAGTTGTCATTAGTCTCTTTTTTGTTTAGTGAAAATGTCAGAATGATGTTTTGTATTTAGAATGAAGAGCGTTCTAAGTAGTGTTTTTCAATTTTGTTAATATTTTTATTATTTTTTCAAATATTGAATAAAAATTTTCACATTGGTATCACAGAGGCTTTAGTTATATAGAAATTTCTTCCTAACTCTGCCCTTAGTTTCTTACTCTTTTTCAGCAGTCTCTTCCTTTTCAAAAAAGTTCTTGCTTTTCCTCTTGCTAACTGTTTCAAGTATATTTCACCCCTATCACTTTTAACTTCGGGTTAAAAATGATTCATTTTTGTTCAGTGGCCATTTGATGTGTAGTAGCTATTAAATAAAAAGTAACAAAAGGTTAATAAATGTTTTAAGTTCACTTTTGTATGCATTTTTACCTTCCTATACAGGCTGAAAAATGATGTCAAATTACTTTACCTTTCAAAGAATGTTAGTCATGTTGAAAAGCGATGATGGTAAAAATCTCAAAAGATTTGACAAGGTGAAAAGGTGATAGTGCTGTGTTACTCAGCAAAGTGCCTGACTGGCTAGTGATAGAAATAAGGTAGACTAAATCAGTGTTGGAATTAATATAAAAAAACTAGTCTAATATTTCTCAAAAGATAATTTTAAGGAATTTTTGCAGATTACAAGTGCTCAGTTAATTCATGAACAGAAGAAATGGTCTACAGTAAGACTTATCATAGGAGGGTTTTATTTATATATCAGTGTTTAGACTTTTACCAACTGTTAGAGATACCTTTTGCTCCTCTGAGAAAACAGAAATCATGGCTTTATATATTTTGGACCTTCAGTTTTACTCATGTTTTTTTAAGTTTCTTAATGCACATACTTATTTTCCTCAGTTAATAGAAAATTTGGGCTCAGGTTTTTGTTTAAAAACGTATTACTGCATTTTTCTAGTTTTGAGTGATTAACATTAACCTGAAACAAGAAAACTATTTGGCTATGTAGATTCATGCTTTTGTTCAAGAATTTTCCTTTTGCTTCTGGTTTTCAACTGCTTTCCCCTCCTTCAGCTTAAGGAACTTGAAGAGTGCAACAGAAACTCTTTGTCTGCCAATAATTTGTTTGAGCGTATAGTAATTGAGTCTTTACTAGAAACCAGCATGTATTTGGAATTTGAAAAAGCAAACCGTGATTATTTGAAAGAGCTGAACTTTAACAGTTCTACCAGGCTAGGTTTGTTTGGAGTCAATCTTACTGTCATTTGGACGGGCCATTTGTCAGTAATGAAGCTCGGGTATACATGTCTCTATGATGTTAAGCTCTCACAAGCTTGAAATAACTTGAATATCAGTCAGTGCTGTTTTGATTGATGATGAGCCTGTCTTTAAAGTCAGTATGTCATAGCACAGGAAAATGTTATGGTTCTCAGTTGGTGCATTCTTCCAGTGTACTGTTTAAAGTAGGAGTGCAGCATGAAAGAAGTGGTGCTCACTGGAAGAAGGCAGCAGCCTTAGAATCTACACATGGTTTCTTAGCAGCTTTATGTTGTTTCCTTCAAGCAACTTGAACTGTGCTTGTATGTATTATCCCTTCCTAGGACATGCTTTCTAAATGATTCCATACCCCTCACACTTTGACTTTCACGCCTCTGTGACTACCTTTTTCTTTAGGTCTTTTCCTGTTGCCTCCATTCTCCTTCCTTTCACACCTACATTGCTTCATCAGTGACCATGGATCGTCAGTTTCTCCATGGATATACTGAGGCCTATTCATATATTTTTAACTGCACATCTGCAAACTTAATGTAATGATTTATATTTCTTCCCATCTATATTCTTCAGTCTGAATTACAGCCCCACCTTTTAGAATGAACCAAAGGGATTTGAAAATCCTTTAAAATAAAGATGACTTAATAAACAGGGGTGCCTGTGTGGCTCAGTCCGGTAAGCATCTGCCTTCGGCTGAGGTCATGATCCCAGGGTCCTGGGATTGAGTCCCTCATCAGGCTCCTTTCTCAGCAGGGAGCCTGCTTCTCTCTCTGCCTGCTGCTCCCCCTCTCTGACAAATAAGTAAAATCTTTAAAAAGAAAGAAAAAAGATGATTTAAACGTATTTGCTTCCATTCTTCACTCTTGTTTTGATTATGCTAATACATTCATGACTTTTGATGATGTACATTTGGATTTCATTAATTTCTACCAAGGTGGAGTAATTTTTAATTAGGACTACTCGGGTTAGTGTCTGATTATAAAGTGGCAAAACTTGCAGATGGCATTGAAAAACAGTGAACATTAAATTTAGGATATTTCTATAAGGTGTTTTCTTACCAAAAATTATAGTGATTTGGGGGAATTTTTTTCATAAATATTTTTAATACTTCTAATTATCACCAGAAACTTTGCAGTGTAATTCAACTTGTAATTTGACTTTTAATTAAGGTAAGTGTTTTATTTAGAGTTCATGTTACTACTTCGAAGATGTTACTTCAAAGGCTTGGTCTTACATTACTGTCTGTAAGTAGATGTACTGGCAATAAACTAAAGACCTTAGCCTTCAATTGGTTTATTTTCACTAGCTTATTTATCAGATTTTATTTTTTTATGGGTATAAAGAACTGAAATAGGAATATAGTTGATGTGTGTCAGTTCTACTGAAATGTTTTTTTTTTCCAGGAATATTGTTAGCTTCAAGAAAAGCCTATTTGATAGATTCCCAGTATTTCAACAATATATATTTAAAAACTGAAAATGAGCTTTGAGTCCTAAGAGTTCCTCTATAATAGGATGTCTTTATGTAAGGATTGCTACAAACTAATGATTTTCTTCAAATTCTCTTTTTCCCCTTACCAGCCAGGCCCACAACTCCTCTTTCTGTAGGCACCATTGTCCCACCTCCAAGGCCTGCTTCCAGACCAAAGCTTACTTCAGGCAAACTCAGTGGGATTAATGAAATAGTATGTACTCAGGTGTTTGTTTTTTTTTTAATTATAACTGTTTGATGTAAGATGCAAATGGTATTTTTTCTATATGCCCCTTTACAGTTAAGCACTTGGAATTATCTACTTGAGTCTTCAAAGAATAGAAAAGTTTTCCATCCAACATTTCCCTTTACTCCCTCATATTATCTCAGTGATCATACACATGGATTGATACATTGTTTAGGAGGAAAGGATTCCTGAGAAAGTTAGCACATAAAAATACCATTCAGTACCCATTCTTTCGCATTTAAGAAGCAATACTCATGTAATTCTGCTTTAAGTCAAATACTAAGGAAGAAATGGTGGCCTGTTCTTAGGGCTTAGAAGTATACTGGCACTGGCAAGAGAATCCTGGAGGGCATCTAGTCCAGCTTTGTTTTATACATAAAGAAACTAGAGTTTGTTCAGGTCACTTAACTGACTTGTCAAAGTACATGTTGCTTCAAGAAAAAAGTATTGGCCTACAAAAGTTGTCAGATAATTAAAGAAAATCTACAAGTTACATTCAGAGTGAGGCTCTCCCAAACCACTTGTCTCTCATCTCTTCTACTTTGCTTCATGTTTTACACTAATTGCCAATGATACATTTCTAAAAGTCAAGCTTAACCTTTTTCCCCCAGATAGACGTCTCCAGTGGTTCCCCATTATCCATGTGGTTGAATGTTTCAGCTGAATGTACAAGGCTTTTTACCAAGTTGCCTCAACACCTAGGTTATTACCAGACTAACTGCCCAAGTTTCTCCTCTTTGCAACCTGTGTTCCAGCCCTTTGAAACTTTCCACTCTTCCCCCAGACACATCATGTTCTTTTATGCATCCGTGTCTTATTTTGCTCCCTTTACTAAAATGTCCCTCAGTTGTCTATGTAGGACGCTGGTCTCTTTTTTTAAGAACCAGCTATCATCTAGCTAAAGCCCTCTTTGATCATTACTCTTCCCCAAGTAGATTTAATCATTCTCTTCCTTATACCCCTATACTTTGCTCATATTTCTTCTGGTGCATAAATTACATTATATATACTTTCCTTGTGTGTTCCCTAGACCGGACTATACCTTTGGTGAACTCATACTTTGCATAATGCCTGTCACATAGTGAGGAGATGTTTCATGAATAAATGAAAAGGCTGGAGCACCAGGTGTTGAAATGGTGACATCTTTCTCCTCTTATCCTAACAAACAGGCCTAAGGAAGTAAACTCAAAGACTCTAGGTATAGGCTGCCAAGGAGATGATGATTATTTGAGTAATAAAAAAATGACTGCCTCTTAGTAACATGGGATTTTTTCCTAATTATAAGAGATCATGTAAAATTTGGGAAGTAGATAAAACAGAAAATTAAAATCCCTTCCATATTTCATGACCCAAAAGATAGCCACTTAACCTTTCTTATATATACCCTTTCATTAATTTTTGAGTGCTTAAGTATTCATTTGCAGTAAAACATAGTTGTTAAAAAAGCACAGCTTATTAGTGACTAATTACCTGAGCAACATTAACCAAGTTATATATTTGCAGTCTTTGTTTCCTTATCGGTAAATGGGTATAAAGATAATAGGTGGTGTGAGACTTAAATGAGTTGCTTGGAATGCAAGTAATTGCTCAAAAAAGTTAACTGTGAATGATAAATCAAAGGTCATACCTTACATATTTTTTATTCTTCACTTGAAAATATTTTGGGGATATCCTTCTATTTCATGAATTATTCTATAGATTTCAAACTTCTTTCAAGTGGTAGAATCCTTTGTCAAATGATCTTAAGTTGCAAATCTATTAAATAAGTAAAAGTGGGACTTTTCTTGAATCTTTCACCCTTTACTCCCTGCCCTAGCCTTGCGAACCTTCTAGAAACCACCCTGAGGGCTTCAGGGAGCACCTTTTGAAACGACTGCAGAGCATAAATGCTCTGTCTTGTAACACCGTCAGCATTTAATTTTCAAAGGTTTTTAGAAATGTGATTATTTGACATTTAGTTTATTTTCCAAGTTTTCATTAATTCAGCATTGTCTTGAGATTTCATTATAAACAATGTCTTAATGAATATCCTTTTGTTTACTTCTTTGTATACGTTAACTTAGTAAAAAATTTTAAAGTAAAATTCATGAACTAAAGGCACATTTTTAAGACTCTTGATGATTATTGCTGTATTGCCCACCAGAAAGGTTATGCTGATTTGAATTCTCTCCAGCTGTACATCAGAGTGCTCTTTTCCTTGCATGCTTGTATGTGCACTTTTCTGGGGAGACTAGATGTTCACAGGGTCTGTCATCACACCCTTTCACATTTCTATAGTGAATGCCTCATTGTTCTAGAGCAGTTGTTTTCAAAGTTTGGTCCCCAGACCAGCAGCAGCATTACCATCACCTAGGATCTTGGTAGAAATGCAATTTCTCTGGCTCTACCCCAGACAAATCAGAAATTCTGTGAAGTGGCCCTCCGAGTGTTTCTGATGCATTTTAAGAACTGTTTTTAAGTAGTGCTGTTCAATAGAAATATCATGCAGCAACATATATTAAAGTTTTCTAGTAGCCACATTAAAAAAGTAAAAACAGTGAAATTGACTTTTTATTTTACTCATTAAAAAAAATCATTTTATAATGTAATCAGTATAAGGAGAGTATCTTTTCTGTTTGTGTGTGCTAAGTCTTCAAAATCTGTGCATTTTATACTTAACCTCATCTCAAATTTGGACTAGCCACATTTCTAGTGCTAGTGGCTACCATACTGGACAGTGCCATTCTAAAATAAGAGAAAACCACTTGAAAAAATAGGTGTTTTTGTCCTTTCATAAGAAATTATAAAGTACACATTCTAAATTGTAAATTATAAAAATGTAGCGACATGATATTGGTCATAAGGCCATGTTGCTACAGGACAAATTTCCCCCACAGTAGTTGATCAAGACTTTTTTCTAAGCTTGCAGGTTTCAGATTAGCTGTTGAATTTACTATGTGTTTGGCCTCATGCCATGCACTACTTCCATCTGTATATATAGGGAGCTGCAGTTTTACACCTTACTATATTTTTTCAGTCTATTAGTCATCATTATCAGTCATAAAAAAGCCATTCTCTGGAACTAATCGTTTAAAAGTAGTTATTTGTGAGAGTGGGGGTTTACTTAGTATAAAACACTTTGGATGCTATCTAATTTTTATAAATGTATATTCATAGAATCAAGAGTTGACTAATTTTAGTGTATGAATGCTTAAGGGTTTTGTTTTTGCCATTTGTTTTTCATGTCCCTCAAATAATTGAGGACAGGAACAATATCTTTTTTATTCACTGCTTTGTATGTAGTTCCTAACCCATGGCCTGACACATAGTAGGCACTAAATAAGTATTGTTTTCACTTAATACTTTTATAAGCAGGAAAAGGTTATTTTTAAATAAGGTAAGCATGCCTTATTTTAAAAAATGAAATCCCTGAGGAAGTGTTGCTCATCTATTATTGGAACATTTAGGAATGTGGAAGGGAAAAATCCATTTCCCCAGGTAAAAGAAATGAAGTTCTATTTTTTGTATTTGTTTTTATGTTTAGAAAAGTGGGAACACAGTAGAATTACGATTTCTCAAACCTCTTTTATGGGGTAAACTGTCTCAATGAGGAAGCATTACAAGGAATTATAAAGGGAAAATGGACACATTTGTAAACACCGAAAATAAAGGGCAGGCAAGATTTAGGGTTTGCAGCAAATAAAGCAAAGGATTAGTGAAAGCTCAGGTTATACTAAGCCCTTACAAAACTAAATCAGAGAAAGCTAACAAAGACAACTCATAAAAGGCGCAAAATGCCAATCTTATTTTTATCAATTTAAAAATTATTTTTCTTCTAATGCTCATTCATTGCTGACAAGGGTGCAGAGAAATATTCTCTTACATTTATAGACAGTAAAGTGAATAATCCTTTTGGGAAGCAGTTTGGCAGTATGTATGAAAAGCGTTCATACTGTTTAAACTTACAATTTAACTTCTGAGAATCTGTCTTAAACATACTTTTTGAAATTGAGAATATGTTCCATGTTTAAAGGTTCTCTTGACAGCATTATTTTAAAATAGACTTCTCAGCCTTTACTCTTGAAAATTATTTGACCTATGGCATTTCTATTTTTAGTTACAAGAAACAATAAATTTGATTTAGTATGTTAAAATTAATCTTACCTGATACCTAAAAATCTTTTTTTATAAGGAAGAACTGTTTTAGCATTTTGGTAAATAACTTTTTGTTTTTAAGCCCAGGCCATTCAGCCCACCTGTAACTTCCAATACCAGCCCACCTCCTGCAGCTCCTTTAGCCCGGGCAGAAAGTTCTTCCTCTATCTCATCTTCAGCTTCATTAAGTGCTGCCAATACTCCAACAGTAGGTAAGTGATTTTCATAGATTACATGTGATAGTTAGCATTCCAAGTATGGTCAGGCTGAATTTTGTTTTTTAATGAGCTCATGAAGAATTTAACATTAGAAATTTTGAATTTTGGAAACACACCTGGTGTTATCAAACTAGCCACATTTTCCTTTTCTGTTACACAATTTCTTTTATTTGAATAGGTTTTTTTTTTTTAGCACTGTTAAGAGTGCATCAAATTTATAAACTACTGACCAGTATAAATAGTTGAAGGCAAAATATGATGCAGTCCTTTCTAATGTGAAGTGATACTTGCATTCCTTGGAGTTTTGTGCTTGCAATTAATAAGTATTTCTACAAGAATTTAAATCATAAAGATCTAAAAGTAGTAGATGTTAGGGTGCAGACATATAAACCTAAATCCCACCAAATAAATCCAGTATTTTATTACATCTAGATTTTGCTCAAGACATTTTTCTATCTTCACTTTAATTTTTTCTACAAATTCTTACTACATTTCTCACCCACTGTTAGTATAGTAAAGCACAAAGCCACTTAAAGCTGCTGTGTTATGGGAGTGACAACTTCTCAAAATTAGAACTGTCCCTGCCGCTGCTTCTAAGTAGTAAGGAGTTTATCTTTGATAATGCCAATCACTGATGCACACTAACTCAACATAATTGAGTAGTGCTCCAGGTGTGATCCTTGTACCTACACCATCTGTCTGCATCACCTGGGAACTTACTAGAAACAGAGACCTTTCAAATCCCAAACTCGGTGTGGGGCTAGCAATTTTTAAACAGGCCTTCCAGGTGATTGTGATGCATGCTAAGTTTGAGAATAGCAGCCATATTTAAGCAGATTTAATCATATCCAATTTGATTTGTCAAAACTCAGAAAGGAGAAGTACATTTTCTAAGTGTGGCCATTGTAAAAATGACATAATATAGGCTAACATAAGATTTAAAAGTTCTTTGATTTTTACATGTCCAAACATGATGTTACCATCTTAGTTTATATACACCTTTATGAGCATATCATTTTTCCTATCTTTTAACTTCAGGTAGAATACATCTAGTAAGTTTTTCTCTTTGCTGTATTGAGCATTTTCTTCTTATATTTTGTTTGTATATGTGTTTTTATTAATTTTGGTTTTTGCAGACTCTTTTAGTCATAAAAAACAGAGTGTCCTTTAAAAGTGAGACAGGTGGTCTGGGTAACCAAAATTTGCTTTAGTTCTCCATTTTCCCTAGGTTATTTAGAAGGATTTCAATTTGTGATGGAAACTGTTTTTGATTGAGTAGGTACATACTTGTTTTTAGTTTGGGCCAGCGCCGGCAATAGGGCAACCACAGGGAGGTGATAGCGACGGTACTGGCAGGCAAGATATAATGTGGATTTTGTACAACAAAGGCACTTTAAATCTACCATAAAAGTTAACTTTTTTTTAATTATGTTTAAGTTTTTTATTCTTCTTGAAAATGTTTTCTTTCCCTGCAATATTGTCTTTTATTTAAATATGATAGAAGATGATAATTTGATTGGGACACTCTCTGAAATTGAAAAGCACTCTGAGACTTCGCAAGGTATTGTATCAGAAGCAACGTATGTGTTGACTAATGATCCTAAAGTGTATCTAAAATACTTTGTTACCTCATTTTTCCTTTTTCAGCGATGTATGCTGTCTCAGAAGTCAAGAATAACTCTAAGGTTTAACTTTCTCGATTTTGTACTAATTATGTCCAGTTGCTGTACAGGATCTATTGATATCAGCTCCCCACTTATAAAAACCTACAGTATTTTTGTATTGCCTTCCATCTCCTTTTCTTTTCTCAACATTAAGGAATGTCCATAAATCATATTGCTAAAGTTGTCAGTACCAGAGAAAAAGTGATTAGAAAAGAAGCAGAAAGACTATGTCAGTTAAAAAAAAAAAATGGTAATACCTCAACTACCAGAGCAAAGACTGTCCTAGGAAAGCCATCCATATTGTGAGGTGAGGTTGGAGGTATAAAGGTAGCAAATAATTGGGAGTGTTTTTTAATCCTGAGCCAAAAGGAATTCCACAAAATTATCCATTGATTGTTACAGGAAGATACTTCAATTTTATAAGCTCTCTGCATTTTCAAAACATACAGTTGTTTAAATATAGAACAATGACACCAAAATTAGAATACGTGAATCCTTCTAAAAGAATACAGGGAATTTTTTAGTTCTAAGAAATTATTCATTCTGAATAGTACATTATAAATTTAGACTTAAAGGACTTGATTACATATTTCCTATGTCATTTTTTTTGAACTATGCATATGCAATATGATCTTGAAAGGAAAACAAGAATAGGAAATACTCAAGGGGATATGCCAAGATGTTAAGTGGGTTTTGAGTTTTTTCCCCTACTGTTCGGTGTTTTCTACTTGCCAATATTTCAATGGGCTTAACAATTTACAGACTATTTCAAGAATTCTCATTTTATATGTCCAAGTTGGATAATTAAAAATAACATGTAGGTTTCTTTTGAATTTGTTTTTTAAAGATTTTATTTATTTATTTGACAGAGAGAGAAAGAGCAAGAGCAGGAACACAAGCAGGGGGAGTGGGAGAGAGAGAGGGAGAGAAGTAGGCTTCCCACCGAAGCGGGGCTCGATCCCAGGACTCTGGGATCATGACCTGAGCTGAAAGCAGATGCCCAAAGACTGAGCCACCCAGGCACCCCTTCTTTTGATTTGTTTATGTCAAAGTAGGAGCAGACATTAGTGTTACCCATGACTGTGTAAATACCCATTTGTTGTAGGTGTTTTAAGGGAAAAGATTGAATTTATAATTGAGAATATAGTTTTGTTTAGTAAAAAAGTATAATAGCTTTCATCTTCCTCTGAAAAATACACTTTTCTGAATTTCTGGTGACCCTCTAGTTTAGAATAATGTAATTTTTTTTAAAGATTTTATTTATTTATTTATTTGAAAGAGAGAGAGAGAGAGAGAGAGACAGCGAGAGAGGGAACACAAGCAGAGGGAGTGGGAGAGGGAGAAGCAGGCTTCCCGCCGAGCAGGGAGCCCGATGTGGGGCTCGATCCCAGGACCCTGGGATCATGACCTGAGCGGAAGGCAGACGCTTAACACCTGAGCCACCCAGGCACCCCTAGAACAATGTATTTTTTTAAAAGGTTCACTGAACTTATTCACATATACAGTAAAATTTTCCCAGTGCACAAGCATGTGTTTGCATAGTTGTATTCAGTTAATCTATACTTAGTCTTTTCTTTTCCACTTAACAGTTTCTTATGCACATATCTGAAATTTCTGCCTCTTGATCAGTCCCTTATCTTTGATTTAATCATCTCTCACCTGATCCAAAATTGAATCCATGACAACAGACATTTTTCTATTCCAGGATCCACTCTGTGTTCAGAGTGATCTTAAATGAAAAATGTAGCCATGTTTCTCTTAAATATTTTTAGTGGTTTTTAGTGCCATAAGGATAAAATTAAACATCCTCCGTGCTGTGATCTGGGCCTTAAACACTTCTCTAGACACATGCTCCTCCTCTCTCATCTTTCCAGCCATCCCTCATTCCCCACTTATGCTCCCGCTTTGGAAAACTAGTTTTCCAAAAGGCAGCATTTTTCTCATGCCACCTTAGCTCAGTGCTGGACACATGTTAGAGTTAGTAAATAGTAGCTGTTGTGATTTGTTGACATTTTTATATTACTGGCTTAATGACTGAGCCACCCAGGTGCCCCTACATTTTATTATTCTTTAAAAAAAAAAAAACCCTGATGTTTAGGAGTGCCTGGGTGGCTCAGTCAAGCGTCTGCCTTCAGCTCAGGTCATGATCCCAGGGTCCTGGGATCGAGCCCCACGTCGGGCTCCCTGCTCAGTGGGAAGCCTGCTTCTCCCTCTCCCACTCCCACTCCCCTGCTTGTGTTCCCTCTCTTGCTCTGTCTCTCTCTGTCAAATAAATAAATGAAGTCTTAAAAAAAAAACCCTGATATTTATATGATTTGACTCCAAATGTATATTATCTAACTAAGTAAATTTTATGTCAGGAATGTTATAAAAAAAATAACAATCCCATTTATCAAGGTAAGGAAATAAAATGTAAGCATTAGACGAAGAAGTAAAAGAATTATAATGGGTAGTGTATCGTAGAAATAGTATGGAAGTAGCTGAAATACAAAAATCCAGTTTAATGCCCTGCTGTATGTGATTGGTAGAACCTGAAACAATTTAGTATCTGAAGGGTTGTGAAGAAATGTTTAGTAATTTTAGTTCTTCAGGGGAAGGGCTTTTTCCTTCTGATACTCCTTAACCCCAGTGTTCAGTGTCATTTCATTTAAAAGAATTCAGTGTGATGTGTTTTCTTTTTTTTTTTTGTCCTCTGTATTATGTTCCAATGTGTTTTATGCTCTATTTCTTAACCTCCAGATTTATACATGAGCCATCAATGGAACCAGTAATAGAGTCATTTGTGACAAGCTAACATTGTGAATTTACCTGTCTTGATACTTTATAAATGTCTTTATGTAGGATTTAACAAATGAATTGTATGTATTCTAGGTGTGTCACGAGGTCCCAGCCCTGTCAGCCTTGGAAATCAAGATACCTTACCTGTGGCAGTTGCCCTCACAGAATCTGTTAATGCCTATTTTAAAGGAGCAGATCCCACCAAGTTAGTTTTAAAAAGATATGTGTGTGTGTGTGTGTGTGTGTGTGTGTGTGTGTGTGTGTGTGTGCGCGCGCGCGCGCATGTGTTTGGTGGGGAGAGGGCCTAGTGGTAAATTTTCAGAGTTACATTTTGATTCTGTAATAGAGTTTTCTGTTATTTATTTACCTGCCTTTTTTGCTATCAAATATAGTCATTTAGCAGTTGTCTTTTAAAAAAAAAAATCACTGTAATCAGCAGTAATGGCTTTATCCCCCCAGTTTATTTATATTCTTGCCCTTGGTTTATGACCATTATGACCCATCTGTTGTTTGACATGTCTATAGAGCAGGATGATGGCAGCTGATGAGAAGGGAATCGAACTCTGAATCTTGGTTTAATGTATATCTTTGGTAAAGTGTGATATTTGCCAGAGAGACCTAGAATATATGTCTCATTTATGAGACTCTTGTCAAGGAATCGGTTTAACCCCCTTCTTTTAAGAAAATGTTTTGGTGAATGACCACCCCTACTTTTCATGTATAACCATACTCATTCAGCATACATTCATTCATCAAATATTTGAGGGCTTACTATGTGTAAAACACTGTTATAAAGCTTGTATTATGCAAGAAGCAGCTTACTAGTTTTCTCTTACGGTAATGCAAACCTTTTAGAGAACTTTGTTTTCTTTATTGACGTATCCTCCACACTTAATTGATGGATAATTACATGTTGAACAACATGAAAGGGAGTGGTATTGATATATATGCTATGAAGAAAAATAAACTAGGGTAAGAGGAGACAAAATTACAATGGAGGGCTTTTTTTTTTTTTTTTAGATAAAATCTTTAAAAAAAAATGGTTTTCTCTGATCATTTTATTTATTTGACAGAGAGAGACACAGCTAGAGAGGGAACACAAGAAGGGGGAGTGGGAGAGGGAGAAACAGGCTTCCCGCCAAGCAGGGAGCCCGATGCGGGGCTCGATCCCAGGACCCTGGGATCATGACCTGAGCTGAAGGCAGACGCTTAACCACTGAGCCAAGCAGGTGCCCCCAAAGAAAACCTTTTTGATGTTAAATTTTAGATGTTTCAAAGACATTGTGGAACAAACCATACAGATGTCTGAGGGCAGAGTGTGCTTGGCATATTCGATGAACAGCAAAGAGAATATTACGTCACTAAGTTGGAATTAGCAAGGGAATAATCAAAGATAAGTCCTTAGAGGGACCAGATCAGGTTGGGAATTGTAGACCATGGTGAGTTTAGAGTTTATTTTGAGCAAGGTGGGAAACCAATGAAGGCTTTGAGCAGAGAAATGATGAGGTTACTTAGGTTTTTGAAGGAGCACTGTGGCTGCCATATGGAGAATAAACTAGAAGGAGCCAGAGTACAAGCAGAGAGAGAAGGTTAACCACAGCAGTCCAGGTGGGAGATGATGGCAGCTTATATAAGGTTATTAGCTGAGGAAATCGTGAGTAATAATGCAATATTGAATTCCTTTTGAAAACAAGGGTTGTCAAGATTTGCTAAGGGAGGAGATTGGTAAGTTTGAAGTACTTATTAGGACAACTAAATACATGACTCTGGAGTTCAGGGAATAGGTCTTAGGCTAGAGATAAAGTATTTAGTAGTCGTTAATTTGTATACAGTCCTGAAAGCCATAGGCCTCAGGGAATACAGAAGAGATCTGATGAGAACTCTGGCTCCCTTCAGTGTTTTGAAAATAGGAAGATGACAGTGATTGATTTGGTAAAGGAATTTGATACAGCATGCAGCAAGAGAGGTGAGGAGAGAACCAGTAGAGCAGTGTCCCAGAAATGAAGTGAGTAAAACCTTTTTGTGAAGGATGGTGTGAAGCTATAACTGATGCTGATGATACGTCAGGAAAAATGGACCTTTGACATTATGGCGCTCATTGGTGACATTTACAAGAGTGGAGTGAGTTAAGTGTTGGAGCTGAAAGCATGCTTGGAGTTCAAGAGTAGGAGATGATGCAGATATGACTGTATTTGAAAAGGGCAAGTACAGAAAACTTTCCAGATGTTTTGCTCAAGTGGAAGGAGAGAGGTGGAGTGGTAACAGCAGAGAAATGATAGAATCAGAGAAAGTTTTTATTAATTTTAGTTTGTTTTTTAAAGATACACATTTTAGCATGTCTGTACACTAATGGGAAAGATCTGTTATTTTTGGAAAAAATTGAACTTGCAGGAAAGGGTACAATTCCATGAGTGAAGTCCTTTGATATGTAGAAGGAGATGAGCATCAGTGCAGGAGCAGCGAGATTGGCCTTAGGTGCATAGACTGATCATCTGTTGAAACAGGAGGGAAGGTATGAATAGAGAGTCAAGTAGGAGTGCAGTTGTGAGACTGAGTAAGTTCTTTCCTGATTTTATTTCCTCAGTAAAATTTAAAAGTCAATGGCTACGAGTAGGGGGAAGGAATATTGCAGGTTGGAGGAGAAAGAAGGCATGAGAAGAGGTAGCATTGCACTATGATGGGCCAGGAAATCCCAAGATACGAGGAAATGGGGATCTGAAGGAATGAGTGAAAAGGTAGTAGGAACAGTGGATTGTGGAAGCTTTGAGATTGGAGACTTGTTGGAGATATGGTACTAGACGGAATGAGCCGGGAAAAGAGGAAGTGGCCGTTAGCGGAGTGGGGATGCTGAAATTGAGATGATGGAGGGGCTGCGGTGTGTACGAGGTAGTCTGGAAGACAGGATCATTGGAGGTAAGGGGCTGAGAACTAGGTGACCAAAATATTAGGATTATCTGTGTGGATACTGAAATTGCCAAAAATTAAGATAGGAGCAGTGGTACAGAGACAGACTGACAGTGGGCCAAGAGCTAAAATTTTCAGGAAAATGAAAGGGAGTATTGAAGGTAACTTGAAAGGGATGGAATACCAAGTAGTATAGTTTGATGGTTTGGGTTACAAAAGAGTCTGGAGGTTTTTAGGAAGAAAGTGGGAATAGAGAGTTGGAAGGGGCAGTGAGAAGCAAGGAAGACATCTCCCACTGCCACTGTCAGGCCCAGGACTCTGTGGGGTTTTCAGGGAAAAAAAGCTGCAAGTGGGGATAGTGTTACTAAGGAAGCAGTGTCCTTATAGGACACCCAGGGGATGGTTTCCACAAACAAGTGAAGGAATATGATCTTTATGCTTGCATTTGTGTTTGGAGTTTAAGTCTAAGCAAAAATGATGATACATGCGTATGCCATTTCACACACCATAATTTTTTAAATAATTATATTGAAAAAATAATTGATAATTATGAAAGATTTTATGTGTCCTTTTTAAACCAAGTATGTTTTAAGTGGATATTAAAACGCCTTATATACACCACTTAAAATTTTCCAACTTCCTAATTTCAGGTGTATTGTGAAGATCACTGGTGATATGACAGTATCATTCCCAAGTGGAATTATTAAGGTCTTCACTAGCAATCCATCTCCAGCTGTGCTATGCTTCAGGGTGAAGAATATCAGCAGACTAGAGCAAATTCTTCCAAATGCACAACTTGTGTTCAGGTTTGTGTACGTTTGTTTTGAAGGTGAAATTTCTGTAAAACTTTTCCTTCTTTATTGAAGCAATAATAATTGAGTTGGGTGACAATAGCCTTCTACTGCCTGTGTGTGTCTTGGGTGGTGGTAGTGGTAGTTGTTAAATCCTTCTCCCTCCATTATCTCATTGTTCAAGGAAGTTTCTGCTATGTTCTGTTCTTTATCCCCCTAACTTTAGTTTTCCCTCCTTTTGGGTTATTCCTACTGGTCTTTCCCAGGTCACCAAATGACAATACAGAGGCAAAGGATAAAGCCAAAGCAGATAAAATAACAAAAATATTTCTTACGCATACAGTGATCCATCGCAGGGTGATTCTAACACAAAAGATTTTTGGATGAACATGCAAGCTGTTACTGTCTACCTCAAGAAGCTATCAGAGCAAAATCCAGCTGCTTCTTATTATAATGTAGATGTATTAAAGTATCAGGTGAGTGTTTTATCCTTATAAAAGTCCTAAGTTAAAATATTAATAGAATCTCACAGATTAAATGAGTAATAGGTCATGGCCAAATGAGGTTTATTCCAGGAATTAAGGATATTTCTTTTTTTAAGCTAGCATTTTTTTTTTTAAAGATTTTTATTTATGTATTTGTCGGAGAGAGAGAGTGCGCACAAGCAGGGGGAGCAGCAGAGGGAGAAGCAGGCTCCCTGCCAAGCAAGGAGCCCTGATGTGGGACTCCATCCCAGAACCCTGGGATCCTGACCTGAGCCGAAAGCAGACCCTTAACCACCTGAGCCACCCAGGCATCCCTAAGGATATTTCAAAATAAAATCTGTTAAGAGGAAACAGATGATCAAATTCACCATCTATTCCTGATTAAAATACTGAGTAAATATAAATACATGAATTTGTCCTTAACCTGAAAAGACCAGCAACATCAGTCTTAATAATGAAACACATAAAGCAGTTAAAGTCTGGAATGGCAAAGACAGCTATATTATGCTTGTTAATAGTATAAGATTTTTCTGGCGGTGTTAGAACAGGTAGACAAGAGAATAAACAGTAATAAATACTGGAAGGACGAACCCAGATATTACTTAGAAGTGATGTTATATTCCTGAAAAACCCAAGGAAATCAACTGAAAAGCTATTTGCTATAAGAGCGTTTAGTAAAGTTGAGTTTAATGCAAAAATTAGTAGCATTTTAAATAACCAGTTAGGAATTCTAATGCAGAAAAGATAATGATGATTAAAAAGAAAACAAACTAATCAGAGTTGGAGAGGTAGTATAAGATGGCAACATAGGAGGATCCTGAACTCTCCTCCTTCTATGGACACACTAAATCTACAGCTATATCTGGAACAATTTCCTCTAAAAAAGACCTGAAAACTACTTGAACAGTTCCTTCACGTTAGCAAACAAGAAAAGGGTCACATGGAGGCATGCAGGAGAGGCTGAGACCCAGTCTCCCCACAAACCCCACCTCCAGCACTGCAGTCCACAATCAGAAGGGAACTCACATACCTGGAGCTTCTTCCTGAGTGAAAGGTTCCTACTGCACATCAGGTATCCCAACTTTTAGGACCTGTACCTGAGAGAAGAGCCCCCAGAACATCTAGCTTTGGAAAGCAACAGAGCTCATGCCCATGATTCCCAGGGCTATAGTGATCTGAGAAACAGCTTTTAGAGGGCTCTCACAGAAATTCACTCACCCTAGGGACCAGGGCAGAAGCAGCCATTCAAAAGGTACCCAGACTATATGTGAAAGAGATTCATTTGCTAATCATAAAATGTGAGCCAGTGAGGCAAGGGCCTATAGGGATACTCTCCAGGGATAGAGGAGCTAGTGGGCAGCATTTTAGTGCTAACTTATGAAAGCTGGCAGGTGCCCTATATAGACATATATATACATATATATATATACACACACATACACACACACATACATTGTTTTATTCCAGACTTTTTTTTTTTAAGTGGGTACCATCTTTACCATCCAGGGAACATGTGCTGAACAATGTCATTTTTGCACTCTCCCTCTGCCTTGCTACAGCTTGCTGGTATCTTCCACGAAGGAGATTATACACTTGTCTGGAGCCCTGGTTTTTTCAGCTGTTGCCTAGCAGATACCTGTAGATTGCCTGGTCTGGTGGCTAGCAGGTCTTATGCTTCTGGTCTTACAAGACTGTGTATATTTGTTTTATTTAAAAGCTGCTGCCTGATAGTTTGGCTTCCTTCCAATCAGTCTCAGTGTAGGTGCTGAGATTACCTCCTTTGGGATAATGACAGGTCTTGGCACACCTTCAACAATTGGGAGCTATTAAAAAAGAATAAGCTGCTTGGATAATCACGAAATGTCAAGAGACAAGTAGCAGCTAGCAAGGTTGGATGTTAAGGTTCATCTACATGAGGCTACTCCTTCAAGCCTGGGAGAGGTGGCTGTTTCATCTAATACATAGAGACAAACAGAGTCAAGCAAAATCGAGAAAGAAAAGAATGTTTCTAATAAAAGAACAAGATAAAACCTCAGAAAAAATCCTTAATGAAATGGAGGTAAGTAATTTGCCTGATAGAGAGTTCAAAGAAATGGTCATAAAGATGCTCATTGAACTTGGGATAAGAATGGGTGGACACAGAACTTTAACAAAGAAATAGAAAATATAAGAAAGTATCAAATATCAAATGTAAGTCACAGTGCTGAAAAATACAATATGTGACTGAGAAACAAGAGGCATTCAACAGACTAGATGGAGCAGGAGGAGGGATCAGTGAACCTGAAGACAGGACAGTGGAACTCACCCAATCAGAGCAGAAAAAAGAATGAAAAAAGTGAGGCTAGCTCAAGGGTCTTGAAGGGGCAACATCAAGCAGACTAATATTTGCATTATAAGTGGTCCAGAAGGAGGAGAGGGTAGAGAAAAGCACAGAGAACTTATTTGAAGAAGTAATAACTGAAAACTTGCCTAACCTGGGGAAGGAAACAGACATCCAGATCCAGGAAGACCAGAAGGTTCCAAGTTAGATGATCCTGAAGAGACTTACACCAAGACATTTTGTAATTAACATACCAAAAGTTAAAGAGGTCTTAAAAGTAGCAAGAGAAAAACCACTTGTTACATGTAGGGGGAACCGAGCCCCCCACCCCCATAAGACTGTCAGCATATTTTTCAGCACAAACATTGCAGGCCAGAAAGGGGAGAGCAGGATACATTCAAAGTACTGAAAGAAAACAGCTTCCAACCAAGAATACTCTACCCTTCAAAGTTATCGTTTAGAATTGAAGGAGAGAGAAAGAGTTTTCTAGATAAGCATAAGGTAAACAAGTTCATTACAACGAAACCAGCCTGACAAGAAATGTTAAAAAGACTTTTTTTAAGCTTGAAAAGGGCACTAATTAATAAGAAAACAAATGTAAGTATAAATCTCACTGGCAAAGGTAAGCATATGGTAAAGGTGTAGTGGATGACTTAGAAAGGTAGCATGAGGATTAAAAAAACAAAAATAGTAAAAATCACTATACAGTAATTAGTTAAGGGATACATTAGATAAAGATAAATGTGACATCAAAAACATCAAATGTCGGTGGGGGGAGACTAAAAATAGGTAGAGCTTTAGAATATCTTCGAACTTCAGTGGTTCTCAACTTAAAATAGACAATTCTAAATATAGCTTGTTATATGTAAGCCCCATAGTAACTACAAAGCAAAAACCTATAGTAGATACACAAAAAATGAGAAAGGAATTTAAGCATGCCAGTAAATAAAGTCCTCAAACCACAAAGGAAGAGCACAAGAGACAAACTATAGAAACAGCCAGGAAACAGTTGACAACATGCCAATAAGTACATAGCTATCAATAATCTGTAAATGGACTAAATTCTCCAATCAGAAGACAGAATAGCTGAATGGATTAAAAATAATAAAAACATCTATATGCTGCTTGTAAGAGATTCACTTCAGATATAAGACCAAAGTTAAAGTAAAGGAATGAAAGATGTTCCATGCAAATAGAAACCAAAAGAAAGCTGGGGTAGGTTAACAGACAAAATGGACTCTAAAATAAGAGGAATTAAGAGACAGAAGGACATTATATAGTGATAAAGGTGTCAGTCTACCTCTACGATATAATATATATGTGCCCAGCATTGAAGCACCTGAGTATATATATATATAAAGCATATATTAAGAGACCTAAAGGGAAAAATTGATAGCAGTATAATAGGGGAATGTAATACCCCACTTACATCATCTAGACAAGATACCAGTAAGGAAACATTGTTCTTAAATAACATGTTAGACCAGATGGACTTAAAAGCTATATACAGAACATTCCATCCAAAAGCCAGAATATACCTTTTTCTCAAGTGAACATGGAACGTTCTCCAGGATAGATCATAGATTAGACCACAAAACAAGTCTTAATAAATTTAAAAAGATTGAAATCTTATCAAGCATCTTTTCTGACCGCAATGATATGTAACTAGAAATCAATTAAAGGAAGACTGGAAAATTCACAGATATGTGGAGTTTAAACAGTATGCTGCAGGGGCACCTGGGTGGCTCAGTCATTAAGCCTCTGCCTTCAGCTCAGGTCATGATCCCAGGGTCCTGGGACTGAGCCCTGCATCGGGCTCCCTGCTGAGCAGGGAGTCTGCTTGTCCCTCTCCCTCTACCCCTCCCCCTGCTCATGTGCTAGATTGCTCGCTCACTCTCTTGCTCTCTTTCTCAAATACATAAAATCTTTTGCAAAAATTAAAAAAAAATATGCTACAGAACCATTGGGTCAATGAATAAATCAATAGAGAAATTAAAAATTCTCTCGAAACAAACGAAAATGGAAATACAACAAAAATTTATTGAATGTAGCCAGAGCAGTTCTAAGAAGGAAGTTCATATCAATAAATGCTTACCTGGGAAACAAGAAAAATCTCAAATAAACTTAACTTTACACATCAGAGAATTAGAAAATGAAGCCCAAAGTTAGTGGAATAATGGAAGTAACAAAGAGCAGAAATGAAATACAGATTAAAAATACAATAGAAAAAACTAAGCTGGTTCTTTTAAAAGACAAAATTGATAAACTTTTAGTTAGACTCACCAAGAGAAAAGGAGAGATGGCTCAAATAAATAAAATCAGAAATAAAAGAGGAGACCTTACAACTTATACCACAGAAATACAAAGTCATGAGAGACCACTATGAACAATTTTATGCCAAAATATTGCACAACCTAGAAGCAATAGATCAATTTTTAGAAACATACAGCCTTGTAAGACTAAATCCTGATGAAGTAAAAAATCTCAATAGACCAGTTACTAGTAAAGAGACTGTATCAGTAATCAAAAACCTCCCAGCAACAAAAGTCCAGGACAATTCTACCATTCAAAGAAGAATACTCATCCTTATCAAACTGTTCCAAAAAAAAAAAAAAAACAAACAAACAAAAAACAAGAGAAGGCAGCAATTCCATTTTATGAGGCCAGCATT